TATCCCCTGAGCCATCGCGGCTCTACAATTTATTAACTAAAGGTGTGGTAATACAAACTACAATTTTGAAAACCAGAATTTCCGGAAAACCGTTACCATATCAAGTACAAAATTTACTAAATTAATGACTTAAATACCGAATATTTTGATTTTATTAACCAGAATGTTTTTAAACCAGAAATGTTTGTACCAAACGGATCGGTAATTTTACCAGAATTTTTTCTCCTAGTAGAGTAAGGAAACAATGATTAATTCCTTATCTAAAGTTGGTTATCTTAGGCTAAAAAAAAGTGTTAACCTATTTTCAAAAACTTAAATCATCTTTTAAGTAAATTTTTCCATGTATCTTTAAATTAAATATTAAAATTGAACAAAAGAATAGAAGTCTTTTTTAAAAACTATAAGCATCAAAAAGAAGCTTTTTCTTCATTTCATATCATTTGAAAGATTTTTTAAAATTTATTTCTTTATAAATATTTTATTTGATAATTAACACAGTATGTATTACCTTAATTCACTGGATTTGACTGTTAGGGTATAAGGAATTTGTAAGAATAGTGATTGGAAACAACAAATCCTAAATTGGTGAAGTTAACTCCTCTGACAGTAATCAAAATTATTGAAGTACAAAATAATTTTCAAACACTTCACAAAGCGTAAATGTTTAGAATAAATAAAAAGAAGAATGATTATTAAAAACAGCATAAGAAATCGTATGAAAATAGTTCCGTTATAATAAAATTTAAATTCTTTCGCATTCGTAGAAATTTCCATGTATCCAAATGAAACAGTGCAAGATTTTGTTTACAATTCACCTTAAACAATTTTAGTTATATTTATTTGTAAGAAAAAGCATTCTGTGTTTTTGTTAATAACAATTACTGAAGAAATTGATTAATTAGTTGATGAAAAGGAATAAAATATGGGATTGTTATTGTTACTAATTGTTTTTTCAATTCATTATACCACAATTATTTGTTCTACTAATAAGAATAAAAACAGTAAAGACTCATAAAACTATTATTCATTCATACCATTTTTACCTCTCGACCAAATTATAGACCAGAAACTGTTTCAAAAATGTCTACTATGTATGAGGTTAATAGTAGATTATATTGGGGAACAATTTTTTTTTCATGTTGTACGATCTTATATACTTTCCCATCGTTGATTTATTTGTAATCGGTTTCTCTCTTCAAGCGCCATTTTTATTTTTGTTAAAGGCATTTTAATCTATTTTTGTCGAAATGTGACAATTTAAAAACGTTATATATAGCAGGTGGTTGCATAAATGTTGAGCCTAACTTCTGAGGAGTTAGGGCACATCATCCGGATTAAAATCGCGCTGAAACCCATGCCCGCAAATGCCGTCATACGCCGCTAGCAGCGCTTCCCAATTATGAGCTGTTTCTTCGTGTGCTTCTGAACTGGTCATAATAAGGGAAACGCCCCTAGCCACGCATAACGACATTTCCGGGCATGGTTTTCCATGCAATTTTAATCCTGATGATGTGCCCTAACTCTTTAGAAGTTAGGCTCAACATTTATGCAATCCCCTGCTATATATGACGTTTCTAAACTTGTACTTCTGACAAAAAGAATGATATTTTAAAACTGACAAAACATTACAAAAAAATTGACTTTTCGTCAAAGCAAAGTGGTAATTTTAAAATAATCTATAACTTTAGAAGCAAAACTTATTCTAGATTTGAAATGCCGATACCCAAATTAGACAGTATCACGTATTTGCAAAAATGCAACAAAAATTCTGTTGCCTAGTGTTACTTACAGCGCGGAGAAGATGTATTTAGAAAAAAGTACAGTAATACAAAAATATTTCAAAGCATAATACAATTGTCTGTATAGAAAATTAATGATGAAAGGTTTGAAGATCGGAGAAGCAATATCAAACACCATATTTTTAATAAAAACAAAATTAAGCTGATTTTCATAAAAAGCGGAGTTGTGGAATCGGTTGTTGAATCGGTTCGACCGATGAATCGAATGTGCGAAATGATCAACACCGACTTAAATTCAATCACTGTAAAAAGAAGTATAATCAAAACTACCAGAATATGGCAAAATTTACCGTGTTTCTATGGGAACACTAATAATCTCAGTAATGATTTTGGTAAAATTAACAGCAAAATGACATTTTATAATATAGGTTTAATTTTGGAAAATGTGGTAATTTCATCATGATACCTTACAACAAGGAATAAAAACCATTCATTCGATTAAACTTGCTTTTTTTTTTTTTAAACCAAATGTGCAGTAATAGAAACTAAAATTTTGAAAATCGGAATTTCTGGTAAGCTGTTATCATACAAACGAAGAAATTAACAAATGAATGTCTTAAATACCGTGTATTTTGGTTTTTAATACCAGAATTATGACCAGAAATGTCATAATCATATAGCATGATAATTTTACCAAATTTTTTCCCTTCGTGATTAAAATTTCTAACAAATCCAACAAAGTATTTATAGTATTAACTAAATCTTAATTTCAAGTTGTATATTTCTTTTTGTTTTATGTACGGTCAAAGAAAATGGCATTTAATTTATAATAGCATTTTTATTATAAGTTATTGATTAGAAAATAAATAAAAGTATAACTAAGAAGAGGGAAATAAAGAAAACATAAGAGTTTTAAAAAACATAGTTGCTAAAAATATTGACATTGGGCAAAACTATTAAAAGTAAAGAACTGAAAATCATGATCTCATATACATGCTGGCGCATTCAAAAACGTCTTATGACAAAGAAAAAAATGTTTAGGTAATATTCATGAACTAAAATGCCATTACATATGATATATTGAAATCATTCACATTTTTTAAATTAACATTGCAACTCAGCTAAATAAATTTAGCTCAATAAAAAAATAACTTATTAATAACGTCAACTTTTCAATAATTTTCTGTGTTCTTTTTCAACAGTTAAGTTAAACATAAGCTCAAAAAAGCTGGAATTAGATTAATTTTGCGGTAAGTAGCAATTTAAATAACTGTCCGTTCTAATAATATTTTTATATATTTATTATTCATTAATCATTAAAATAATATATTCATTCTAGTAATACTTTTGTTTTCATAATTACAAGTAATTGTAATAATAATTCTCATAAAATCAGAAACTTTTTTTCCCCTTTAAAACTTCTGAACCCAACTTTTAACGAATTGAATCGAAATCAAGCGAATTTTTTCACCAACAACTACAACTCACGCGAAATTTTCCTTGACTCCTGGTAGCGAGATTAAAATGAAAAAAGAATTGAATTAGAAATTAAACATATTTCTGCCACCAGAATACTGAAAAATTTACTCTATTCATTTCGAAATTGCTTTCATTCAAATAACAGTAATTTAGAAACTGTCAGTAAGATAGAATAATTTGCAATTTGCAAAAAAAAAAAAAAAAAAAAAAAAAAAAAAAAAAATGNAAAAAAAAAAATTTTTTTTTTTTTTTTTTTTTTTTGAAAGTTGGCATCGGTTTGTATAATGTTTTTCAAACCCCACTGCTCAGAACGATCTTATAACTTCCTTCCGCTTTTTATTAATTTTTGATGTTCCTTCCTTCCGCTTTTTATTTATTTTTGCAATTATTAATAGAAGTATAAAATGACTAAATCTTTTTTCCGGTTGAAAATAAATAAATTATTTATTCAATAATTTTCTTATAATTCTTTTCATACTGCAAATGTCTTTTGTTACATGATCTGCATTTTACAAATTTTTACGACATACATTATATACCAATTTATTTTATGACATTCAAATATAATTTACAAATTTTAATTAATATTGTTTCTAAATTTGCTTCATTTCTTCTATAACTTTTTTCTAAACGTTCACTGCGCAACGAATAATAGGATATCATTATTTCATAGTATAATAATTTTATAATTCATTATTTCGGATCATAATACTTTTTTCGTATTATAATAATTTTATAAAAGGGAGCGTGATATTATTTTATAAACTTATTTTTATTTTCCATAACATTTTAACCCTTTGACGCAAATGGGCACCGGTGTCTCTTTTTTCCCCCTCTGACTCTCTAACTATCAGTAAAAATATATTTTGGTATTTTTTAATTATGAAAAACAGTCTAATAGTTACAAAAAAAATCTGCTAAGTTATCGAAATTATATTTGAAGTAAAATATAAAATCCAAAAAAAATAGTTTGAATAAGGAATTTTTTTCCCATTCATACTCAAAAATTTATCAATAATTGATTTTGTAAATTGAAGAAATTTCAATGATGGATTACTATTTTTTTTTAGTTCTGAATAACTGTAAATAAGTACAAATTCGAAAAATTATTGTTTTGAAGTGAACCTTGTTTGGAAGATTTTACCTTTAACGCGCAAAAAGACACCGGTGTCTCATGGTGTATTTTATAGCCATAGAATATTAAAATGCTATTTTTCACTTATTTTACCCAAATTAATGCAAAATAATAAAATTAAAAGTAAGAAAAATATGTTTAATAAAAATTCAGTGTGAAAGAGTTTATACTCTTCAGGACAAATGAAAAATAACTAACAGTTTGTTAATAAATAAGTTAAAAAAACTTGGCAAAAAACAAAAAAAATATGTTTTAATACAGACAGAATAAATTATACATTCTTTAAAAGCTGTACTTTAAAAAGCACATGCGAATATTTTAAAACTTCTTTGTTTAGTTGTCAGAAATCAGAGAAAGAACGTAATTTGTCTCTGCATATGTTTTTAATAACGTAAGCGAACCAACGAAGAAGTATAATTGAATGTTTTTAGTAATTACTCATCTGTAATCTAAATTTTCAAAAATAAAAACATGGAATTTAATTCAATTTCATTTATATTCAAAGTTTTGCAACTATAAAAGTTTTCCACTCCTGCAATAAAATGTTCATTTCCCATGAAGTAACTTTCCTAAAATATTTCGTGGAATTACGAATCTTCCAAAACTATTGTCACTCAAAAATAATTGCAATGAACGTTAAAACTTACCGACAATGAGTAAAGAAAAGATAATTAAGAGATTCTGGGCCATCCCTGTACAATCTTATAACTCCCCATGCATGCGTCTACGGATAATCGTTTGCGCTTCCCTCCATCACACGACAAATTTCGCTCCGCCTGTTTCTGACGACAGCGCCATCTTTCGACCGCCCTTGAAATTTCACGTCTCGAATCAGGAAATGCGCATTATTATCAGTAGGTTGAATATCATCTACAACGAGACTGCTCTCTTAATATGTTTAGAAGTAATTGTCTTATGATCCTGCCCTCATAGAACACTAAATAATGATTTCCCGTCAGCTGTAACCATGTTTTTAAGTGGCGGTCTTTTGAAATTATAGCTGTTGTCGAATAGAAGTGTTAATATCAGAATCACCTAATTTAACACACCGCGTTTAAATCAGTTCGAAAACAAAGTGACTTTATTTCTTCCTATTTATCTTCTGTTTTATAGGGCATATTTAACGCATTACTTGTTTAAAAAAAGTAATCCTTATCAATTGGAACACTTTTTATTATCCTTAACTCTTTCCTCACATAACACAAAAGGTCATGTTCATGATTCAGAAATATTTCGATTGTCCATATGCATGCTTAAAAAACTGTTTCTGTAATGTAATCTTGAATTTGTAATGTATGAAACGTTTCTGGAACCAAATATTTTGCGTTAGTAGTAGATGACGCAACGATGATCCGAAAAAACTATTTAGGTTAAATATTGACAGCTCATTTCTGCGTCTCTTTATGTTAAGTTGTCAAAACGGCATGTTACTCATTAGTAATTAAATAGTAGTTACAATAGCAGTTAGTCATCTTTTACGCATTACTCGTTTAACAAAAGTAGTCCTTATCAAATTGACTGCATTTTATTATCCTTTACTCACTCACACACAAAATGTCAGATTTATGATTCTGAAATATTTCGATTACCCATTAACGGAACATAAATGCATGCTTTGAAAACTGTTTCTGCAATGTTATCTTAAATTGGTAAAAAACTAAACGTTTCTGGAACCAAATAATTCGTTTCAGTGGCAGACGTTTACTAGTAGATGACGCATCGATGACATGTTCGAAAAAAATATTTAGTTAAAATATTAACAATTCACTTCTGTGTTTCATTTTATTAAGTAGTTAAAACGGCATGTTGCGCATTAGTAATTAAATAGTGGTTACAGTAACATTTAGGTATATTTAACGCATTAGATTATTCGTTTAACAAAAGTAACCATTATCGATTCGTAAATATTTCATTAACTTTCACTCTTGCTTAACACAATGTCACATTTATGATTAAGAAATAGTTCAACTGGCCATAAACATAAAGTAATTTGCACATGCTTTAAAAAAGTTCTCTGTGAATCTTGGAGTGTTAATAAATGAAATGCTTCTGAAATAAAATATTTTACGTTAGTTTCAGTCGCTTAGTAGAAAATGATGAAAAAGTAATAGGAAAAGAGAATGGTTTTTATTAAATATCAAACGTTTCATAGCAGTGTCCCTTTAGTTTAAGTGGTTGAATTCGAACGTTGTGCGTTTAATTGTTAATAGGGTCAGAATTAGCAAGAAGGTGTATTTATAGCATAACTGGTTAAATAAATTTAATTCTTTTCAATTTGAAATCATTTTATTATTACTAACCCTCACTCACATGAAGCAAAGGTTATGATTCATGAATTGTCCAATTGTCCATTTACGTAACAAAATTTCTGATATTTGTGCATGGTTTCAAAACTGTTTCTATGATTTAAGCCTGTATTCGATAAAGCCTGAAATTTTTCTGGAACCAAATATTATAGTTTTTTTATGAAATGTCTGAAAATAGAAATAGTAAAGACAATTCGAAAAGAAATGTTTATGTTGAATATTAGTTGCATAAACAAAGAGGCAACTGTCCATTTTTAAAGTCTAAAATTAAATATAAAAATTTCAAAATAAAATTTGAAATGACTAACTTGGCGAAAAAAATTCACAAAATTGTATCTTCTTTTTACTAATAATTCCCTTTTTAAGAGTAATTTTTAATTTGTGTATTACATTGACGTTTAATCTATGTATCGCATAATAATGTTCACAGACAAATATATTTCAATACAATATTTTTAAGTGAAATTTTTTTGAAATATTTTAGAAACTTTAATGTTTTAGAAACGCAACTAAAATGCTTTATTAGTTACAGAAAGTGGATCATTCTGAATATTTTAAGTTACACAAAATCCATTTTTTTAAATAATTTATCAATCATTTTGTATAAAATCTGTAAAGCTTCGATTTTATTTTTTGACTTCCAAGTATTCCCTCTTAAAGAAAAATTAAAAAATGTATTCATTTTCCATAAACAATTACTAATTTTACTAATAAATTTAACGGTAATATCTTGATTATTACACTCACTTCTAAAAGTTAAATTTGGGGAAAAAATTTCAATTTCTAGAAGATAATCTGTAATGAAGAAACTGTTACTTGTTGCAGAGGTAAAATAAGATATGCAAATAATAGATAGCAGACAATCACTTCAAAATCCTGTCAAAAATCTATGTAAATCAAGCAGTGATGTAAGAAGCTGGGTTTATGAGGGTTTTCAAATGGCTAACGGTGTTTAGAACAGAAACAAAAAGTGTTTAGAACAGAAACAAAAGTATAAAAGCTGTTCTTTCAGTTTTGCTTTCAAGCTAAGCTTGTTTCGCTGGCGCCCAGATGGAAGATTCTGAACGCACGCATTGAAGTAGGACAGTCTATCATAATTGCTCTTTTCTTCGGTTTCCATCATTCCGTCATTTTACGATAATGAAAACAATTCCAAACCAGTCAAACAGTTCTCCAAACACCTGTAGCCCGTCGTCCAAACGTCACGACCTCCGCAAAAGATCAATATATTGCTAAAGCAAAGCGAAATCGAAGAGCGACTAGCACACGATTGAATTCTGTGGTTAAAACGGCCATTCATATGACGATATCTGCCACTACGTACACGCATTATAAAATTTTTATCAAATCTAATGAAAAACTCTATCTTTAGAATAAAGTGTGGGTGAACTGGTTTTTGGAAGGAGCTTTAAAGTTGACAGTTCTCTCGCTTTTTCGTTCACATTCCATGTCGATCGCTTAAGAATTTGTATGCTGAACATTCATATACACTCATGCATAGCACATATATACATAGATATAAACATTCTATTTTTATATAGAATGTAGATAATTCGACGTGAGAATAAATTCAGAACAAGATAAATAGAGAGAAGTTAAAATATTTAAATCAAATTGTAGTTTAATTTAAGAGCTAAAAAAATTTGATTTGTCTTCATCAACACTCGTCATTCCTCACGGAAAACCTCTAAGCATTTTAGAGAATTAAAATAACAAAACGATTACGAAGATTATTTTAAATAAATTAAAAATTATAAAGAAAACGATAAATTTATCTTCCACCAGAGGCCGTTATCACAGAAGGGGCGCTGTATACGTTAGAACAAAAAGTGTTGCCATTTTCCACAAAAAAGGGGGAAAAGCACATCTCTCTGTTTAAAATGTAGTCTAACATTAGAGTGAAAATTATTTATAAATTTCAGTGTATTTAAAAACGTTTGATACTTTTTTATGATATACAGCAAACAGAATAATCATATAATCAGAATTTTAATTTGAATTTATCTAGTTGCATTCGCTTGAGAACAATTTTTTTTACAAAATTCCACGATTAATGTTTCTTAATTGAAAATAAGAAGAAAAAAATGTAAATATTTTTTGCTCTCGTTAAAATCAACTTCTTGCCTCGCCTCTCAGAGACATTAGAGTGATTTATTGGACTCCCTAGAGTAATTATGACGTAGCAATTTGAAAGAAAAAAAAATCGTGACATGGTAATTACTTTTGCAAAACTATTGATGCCATCAATCACTTACATATTAATTTCCCTAGAAATGTTATTAATTTATTACGCTACTAAGACAAAGAGTTTAAACTAGAAATTAAAAGTACGTATGATAAAAATACATGAAATTTTTAAGTTGCTTATGAAATGTCTGTAACTCATAATTAGGTATTAGAGTTATACTACTTATTTGAATAAAAATTCAAACATTTTGTATTTCCTGCTTTTTTTGAGAAACCTAGAATCCCTGATAAAAAATGTTTAGAAAATTCCAGACAAATTAAAAATGCTGCTGATTTTACAAAACTGAGAAGATCTTGCAATTTAGTAAAATAACTTCAAGTGCGGTGTTCTCCAAATAATTTTAATAATTTTCCTCAATTTCTACGTAAATTTAAATATGGTTCAGTTGGCTTGGAAAGTTTTCTGCCTCTTTGAAACCGTGTGAAATATGTTTGTTCTGCATAGACAAATATTTTATTTAAAAAAACGGAAAGAAAAGAAAGTTTATGCTTATAAACCTTTTACCTAGAAATTAAAAGTATAACTTAAAAAACATATTAAAAATTTATTATAATAATAATTGATAAAACTGAAGAAATTAATATACAAATCGTCTAATCGCAATGCGCGAATTTGGGACCACAAAAGCAACCCTTCATCTTACCGGTCGGTACAGGGAATACCCGAGACAATGGCACCCAACCGTAAAAAATATCAGTGTTGGGTACACTGGACAAATGTATACCGGGAGCATGTACACTACCTTTACATTTTCAGTTTGTAACGAGAGATTTTGAGCTCTCTGATTGGATTTCGCCGTAAAGCCTTCCGTGACGTATGGCTATTTCATTCTGCTATGCTTGTTATTTTAAACATAGAGATATTTCTGTACAACAGCTTTTCTTTTTGAAGCTTGAAATGTCAGTTTTCTAGCCTGAGAAACTACCATCTTCATTTAAAAATGAAATAGAAATTATTTCATCTATCATTATTATCCCTAAAAGCAATGTTTTAAATTTAGAAGATTGCAACAAGTGGGTAAAGGATTTTGAGGAACTGCCAAATACGAAATGGTACTCCAAAACTTCGAAACCTATGGACAAAGATTCAAAGATCTAAATTGCATGGTTTTTAATTAGAAACTTTTGCCCCACCCCCCAGTGGCGGACTAAGGCTAAAGCTGGCCCTAGGCAACATTATA